ATACGAAGTTATAGGAGCGGCATCGTGGAGCACACGAAGCAGTTACTTGGCTGCCAAGGAAGCGAGGTGTGCGCTTTCACACGAAAGGTGCGCTGGTTGCTGAGCAGGACTTCGAAAGCACTCCGCCCCCAAAAGCGATCCGCCCACTAGTTTACTTGTTGATTTGGACGAGCTGCGTGGCCAGCAGCGGCGCAAATGGATTAAAGCGTAGTTTGGCATGGTGCCATCAAACGCGTTGCGGTGAACTCGTTCATACGTCCACTTTCTGAGCTGTTACCTGTTCATGAGTGAAAACCAACGGCCAAAAAGGGGGTCCCGTTTTGCGTTTTCTTGACGGATTTTTCTGCTTTTTTCGCTACTGGCGTACCATTGAGCACCACCACGTCACTTCTTGAATTTTCGTAATCGCTGCCTTTAATTGTTCCTGGCTAGGCAAAATACACATTCAAAAGACTTCGCGATTCCGAACAGAATTCGAATGCATGGCTTATCTCGAAGCAGAGATAGACCTTTGCCGAGATTTTCATGGAATTTGTCGTCCAAAACATTTGTAAGATTCAAGACATTTCTCGCGTAATTCTATATGGAAGCCACAATCCTTCGCCCTAACCAACGATCCTTCATAGAAGTGGCATTACTTCTCCAGGCTTCGGCTAATCCCTCGAATCTCTTATCCTTTGCCGAGTTTCCATGTGATGCTCATGTTTGACAACTGTTCTGAATCGTTGAAGGATGCGAGCTGGTGACGAGATTGTGGCGGTAAATGGTATTTCTGTAAAAGGAGAGCGGAAGTCAGCCGTCGCTCAACTGATCCAATGCAGTACAAATCCTGTCAAGGTATTATTTAGTACATCTTAGGGTTTATAAATGTCGACATCCAGAGGATGAAATCATCGGATCTTATCCATGGAAGAGCTTGAAAGTGAGAGACTTAGTTGCATAGGTGTTGACAGGGCTAGAGCAGCCTTTTTACCCAGTTTGATGACATTCGTTAGAAATTCATTGATAATATTTGTTAGAAATTCATTTTCTAAATATACCTGAAGAAAGGGGATAAATTTTCCTTGAGGAAAGCTCTCTCAGAGACTAATTCGTTTCCTTCCAGATTGTTCTACATAGGGCACCCCAGGCAGGGTCAACCCTACGTTGGTACAAGTACCTACAGGGGATCGTAGTTTGTTGAAGTTTGTGGTGGGGGTCGTACTTGTCCCCCTAGAAAATGTTGTAGTGGAAATATAGGGAAAAATGGGTAAAATAGAGGGAGTGCAAATGAGGGAAAGGAAAGGGAAGTACGTGGTAGCTATGTATATGCCCCCCCCCTCCCCGCTCGACGGTGTTTTTTGAGGGAAAAAGAAGTTGTGAAGAAGGGGTCGTATGAAACTGTCGTGAAGGAGGGGGGTCGTAAAAATTTTGCAAAAAGTCCCAACGATAGGACCGACCCTGCCCCAGGCCGATGAATCCCCAATAGAGATAGGGGACATATTTTAATATCTCAGAGAGGGGTCGTATAGGGACGGATCGAAAAGTTTTCTGAAAAAGAGTGAGGGTAAAAATTTTCTAGATTAAGGGTGATTTCCTGAATTTTTCTGGAATTCTGGGAAAAGAATTTTTGCTGTTTACGTTGCGATACGGGCACTCGCTACGAGTCGACGAGCTTTGATAGAGCTGGAGTAAGACTGTGACTTGCAGTAATTGTGGTCAAGTCTAAATACCTATTGCCTGCTGTGGTGTAGTAGATACTCGATTCCCAGATGGCAAAGTCGGTCGCACAGGTCGTTCGCAATAAATTCTCCAAAGGAAATCGTTTGCTGGCGAGAATCTTCCCTCAAAGGGGCACGGATTCGATCACGAGCGAAAGTCCGAAGTAGTATGGAAACTGCCACCACATGCTGGAGCAATGTGTTTCGTCTTATAGCCGTTCAGCAGGAGAGCCGAGTGTTGAAAGGCGGCAGCACAGCGCGTCAACCGCATGTTGAACCGCAGTTGCCGCGGAAATTGTCTTACGACCCCCCTCAGGGTAACCTTCTTCACCACCCACCGGCCCGCCCATCATGGCATTCAATGGGGCTCTATTCGAATAGTATTCGATTTCTCGAGACCTAGTCGTCAAGCCCAACTCCAACCCATTTTGAATCGGCAAAGTTTACGGCGCGCTAACCGCAATGCTGCATCACTTTCCCTTACTGTGAGACATTAACGCCTACCTTGCGAAATGACTCCCCGCCCCCTTTTAAAACCAAATAGCGACCCCTCCCACCCTCGTTAGGACTTCTGTCCAGAACGGACGCGTTTGGACTCTGATCGCTATCACCGGATGCGGAGTCAATCAATGCGCATATCAACTGGTGAAGAAGGGGTCCCATTTCTCGGGTTATAGTTCATTTTTCTCAGTTTTTTCTTCTTTCGCGCATCACTGACCATTTCTAACCAATGGGCTGCCTTTTCATCGTAAAATCCGCCTTTAACATGAAAAGATGCATTGTAGCACTAAGGTCAATTTCAAGTGTGTATTTTCTTCAGATGACGATTAATAAGCTGGAAACGGACCCATCAAAAGGGAAGACGCTCGACATTGTGATGAAGAAAATCAAACACAAGGTCCCTGATTGGTGTTTCCATATTTTTGATCTTGGTCTGTGAAGTCATCTTTTCAGATTGTCGAATTCATGGACACGGATTCGGCAGATGCGTTAGGTCTATCGAGAGCGATTCTTTGCAATGATCCACTTCTGAAGAAAATGAAGGTGCGTAAATAGAAAGGAAAGCAACCTCATTGTTCTCATAATATAAAAAAGTCTTTTGCGCTCCTTGTTGAAACCCAAAAGTAGCGCAGTGGCATCTGCACAATCGGGTCATTTGCATGCGCCCCAACCTGGCCCAATCCAAGCCTCCTATACGCATAATTTTGGGATGATGTTTAATCGCGCGAGCCAGTCGAAGCACGGCTCACTCTTGAGCAATTGCTAAAGAAAGAATATCGCTTCCTTTATCATTCTGAGTTCTTTCTGGACTCCTAGAAGTCGTGATTACGGATTTCTTCAGGTTCTCGAAGACAATACAATGCTCTACCGAAATCTCATAGCTTACTTCAGTGATCTTTTCTATTTCCAGGAGAAAATAAGCCAGTACCAAAAAGGTTTGTGTAATTTACCATACTTTTTTCTATTTTTAGGCGCTATCGTAAGACATGAGAGGGCAACGCAATATTGATCAGTATAAGGGTTGGCGAAGTGTGGCTCCGGAGGTGGATGCAGCCCTTCGCGTCAGATTTACCTAAAGCTCAGTTTTAGGACTAAGGCTCTGAGGTGAAACAATCCTACTCTGTCCGGCCAGAGTGAGGTACATTGCGCCTACATAATGGTTAGGGCTTTCATACATCCCCATCATGAGGCTCACGTCATTCCGTCTTCAGAGCGTGTTAGTCGAACCTGTCCGACTTCTTTGTTGAACGATCTTCGTCGCATTATATGAAGCACATCTCTCGAATGGGATCCCAAAATCCTATTCTACTCGAAGCAATTCTCCTGAGGAGGTTTTCAGAAAGTGAACGAACTTGTTCAGACAACCTGAGGCCGTAAAAATCTACATAGTAGACACACATGTGTAAATATACACTGTTTCCCATTGCGACACGTTTCGTAATTGCAGAATGAATAGCACATATGACAGTAGCCATAAAAATATCACACGTGCTTTGACGCGAGCTGATGCCAGTGATTAACCTTGAGTGTGCAATTGTGACATGTATCGCTGTAGGAAATAGTGTATACGTGGGTCTCAGGACATCTGTCAACCGTGAGGCTAGGCAATTCAGCGTTTTGTAGTGCTGTCTGGGAGCTCTCACACAAGCACACTATTACAGCAATCTCCGCTTTCTTTACTCCTTTAAAAGGCTTAGTCCCACTACCACACAAACGTCTGCTTTTCCTCTACACTCCTTTAATTG